AGATGCTTTTTCCATACTTAGAGGGCTTCTTTCTTCATCTTTAAAATGGGGTTGATGGAATATTGCATTAAATTTCAATTCAAGGAGAGTTGATGAATATATATTTGCATTTATACTTATATTTATGGTTGTATTCAGACATTCTTTGCCTGGATCCCCTGGCTCTGAGGGCTGGACAGGCAGGAAATAGTATTTGAGTTTTATAGAAGTAAACTGAGGCAAAGACAGCAAGGACTGTTTCTTTGGATCACAGAGAAAGTCTGTCGGGAGCTGAGCAAGACTCTGATCTCACCTGGGTTGAGCGAGGAGTTGCTTCTGCGGACAATTCCAGCCACCTGGAGAATGGGTCCCGGTACCAAACTGTCTGCTGGGCACAAAAGTCTTCCGATCTGGGCTGAGTGTCCTAGAAAACCTTTTTCTGTTGCCAGGACAGCACGAGGCCTTTTCCTACAAGAATATATGAAAGTGTGTTTAAAAATAAAGAAGGAAACAGTGCAGAAAATCAGCAGAAAGCTGTTTTCCCAAAAGAGCTGAGGGCAGGAGAACGCGTTTTCCCAGGTACCTGGCCAAGGAGCCACTTTTGTGGGCACTGTGCCTGCCCTGCCCAGCACCAGGGGTGTAGGGAGCCCCTAGCAGCACTTGGGTTCCAACAGCTGAGGTCCCCAGGGGTACACAGGGCCTTGGGATTCGCAGCATGTCTCACTGTTTCTGGGCATCTCCCATCAAGTCTTCATTAAAAGGTCTCCTCCTTGGGGTAGAGAAAACCATGCTTGGATCCTGCAAAGCAGCCCCGAGCGCGTCCCTCATTTGTCTTTGTAACTGTCGAGGCAGGGAGCAGGTGGCCCTGTGCAGAGTGGGAAATAGGCTACAGATGTCTGAGACTAACAGCCCTTCCTGTGACCCTCAACATGGTATCTTGAAATTGCTGCCACCACCCCGCAGCAGACGACAGGGTCTGTCGGCATCACCTGACTTTCCGTGGTGGCAGAAAGCTCCCTTGTGCAGTCAGTGAAGCAGCTGGTTCAATGGTTTAGAGAAAAACTCATCCAGGTTGTTCCTCGGGGACACAGTTTCCAGGAAAGGCAAATCCTGGGAAAACAAGAAAAGCTTGTTTATACAGATGAAGGAGGGCTGAATGGTAGTATCCCCGGAGGTGACTCCTCCCAGGATCAGCAGCTCATAGAACTTTCTAGAGGAAGCAGCTCATCAGTCTAAGCAGGAGCCATAGAACATTCACTCTGCGGGCCCTGTGTAGGGTGCTCTGAGCTCTTAGGCTGGAGCCACGAAACCGAGATCGGAACCTAACTCAGCCACTCAGGGCTTGAGCTTCATTTTTCTCATCTGAAGGTTGGAGATAGTACCAGCACTTGTCTAATGGCTTTGTTGTGAGGATTACAAATGAGCTAATGGATAAAAACTTCCTAGCACAGTGCCTGGATCATGGATGCTCAGAAATTCACCTGCTGTTATTAGCTGCAGATTCTCATGCTCGCTCCAGCTTTGTTAGTGTCTTCAAGCCTCTTAAATGGGTGTGAGCAGAGTATTAGGAAAACAGACCGAGGGCTACAGGTTTCTGGGTGTCTCTTTCAAGTGCAGCATATATTCCAAAACCATTTACAGCCTTTTTAAATTTTACTTTTTATTGAGATATAACGGACATATAACATTGTATTAGTTTTAGGTATACATATAATGATTTGATATATGTATATATCACAAAATGATCGCCACAGTAGGTCTAGGTAAAGTCCTTCACCACAGAGTTACAATATATTTTTTCTTGTGTTTAGGACTTTTAAGAGCTACTCTCTCAGCATCTTTCAAATATATGATGCAGCATTAACTACAGTCACCATCCTCAGGACTTACCTTATAACTGAAGTTTGTGCCTTTCGAACCCTTCACCCATTTCACTCACCCTCTCACCCACCCTGCCCCTCCCACCTCTGGCAACCACCAATCTGTTCTCTGTATCTATGGGTTTTGTTTTATTTTTAAATTCCACCTATAAGTTTACAGCTTTTTGAAAATCTTGGAGCATTAATAACTTGCCCAGCTCAATTTCTTGGAGGGCAAGGAATTACTGTAACAAATGTTTAATGGTGGGTCTATACAGTGATCTGTCACATCAGTAAGTGTTCAGACAGCCAAGACCCCCCCACTCAGACAGTAAGGGAGACCACATGGTGAACCAGACACCACTCTGCCTTTTCCTTTCTGTCTGCTGCTAAGATCTCAGATAAAAAGAAGGGACACAGGGAGATACAAAGGAAGGAACACAGGTGTGGGCCCAACGGGGTTAAAATCCTAACATCAGCTCTGCCACTTACTTGTTTGGTGGCCCAAGTGTCACTTAACCTCTTCGGGATGTTTTCTTATCCGTTTTAATTTATTCAATAAGTACTTTTTGAGTGCATAGAATGTACCAGGCTATGATCTGGGTGCTGGGCGCAAAACAGACACAAAACTGTGCCCCTGCGGAGCTTACATTCTACTGCGGGGAAATAGACTATTAGGAATAAACTGATGCACAAGCAAGCAGGGTGGTGTTTACAGGACAGAGGTGATGAGGCCTTACTCCACTGGGTTGCTGTGGTGGATACAAGTGACAGTCCATGTATATATAACACACAGGGCCCACGGTAAGAACTTAATAAATCACTGCAATTGTTATTTTTTAAATTGCTCCCAGATTTCTTTAACTCCTTTAAACACCTCACCTATAGTCTGCGCCTAGGAGCTGTTCATTTATTCGTTCAACAAACGACGACCAACCCTCCACTCTACCTAGACCTCGTACCAGTCACCAGGGACAGCAGCCCACGATGTGGGAAGACATGCTGAGAACCTCAGTCCGGTGGACGGTTCACAGCAGAGAGGCCGGGAGCCCAGAGGTGGCCGTGACCTCGAAGCCTCGTGCGTCTGGGCGTCCGAGGAGTCCTCCCCTCTGATGATGTCTTTTTTTTTCCTTTTTTTTAAAACTCAGGCGTCCCGGAGATGGCTGGCGATTCTAGGAACGCCACGAACCGGAGCATGGAGATCGGCGTCCCTCCCGGGGACCCCAGGAAGGTCCCCAAGCAGG